AAAGAAACCAGAGCCCCTCGGGGCGGCGCACTACTTCGATCGCAAAGAGCTCCCGCCCAGTCCCCGCCAAGGAGTCCCACCAGCCCTTTGGGCGACAGGTGAGAGCATGCTACGCATAGAATGAAGTCAATGGAGATAAATTGCAGGGGATCCGTGAGTGGATCAATCTAGATTGATGAGGCTATGATGCCTCTTTTGATTTTGAACCGGCTATGATGCCCGCTCGTGCCCACCCCATCCCGTCTTCAAGGACCCCGCATCCCCCTATGATGGCAAGATGGGAAGACGGGCCGCCGCCCCTGGCACTGCACGTGCGGTGCCAGGTTTGCGGGGATTTGGGTCGACCCCCGCAATGCCACTGATGGAAACTGCGAGGGGTGTGAAGCCTCATGGCGGTCCTCATTGGTAAAGCCTATGATGGTCCCCGCCGGGGGGGGAGAAGGCAAGGGCGGACGTCCACCAACAACGTCCGCCGTGAAATGCACTGTGACCACACTCATGAATCAGAAGACCGTGACATTCACAAGCGCGACCCGACCTATGATTGCGGACTCCGTGAAACGCACCGTGGCCACGCTCATGACCACGAAAGCCGTGACATGCACAAGCGCGACTCGACCTATGATTGCGTATTCCGTGACATGCAGTGTGATCGCGCTCGTGATCACCAACACCGTGAAACACGCGAGCGCGACCCGACCTATGATTGCGGACTCCGTGAAGTGCCATGTGACCACACATCATGAACACGAAGACCGTGACATTCACGAGCACGACCCGACCTACGATTGCGGACTCCGTGAAACGCACCGTGAACACACCCATGATCACAAAAACCGTGACATTCACGAGCACGACCCGATCGAGGCCGAAGTGTTGCCCGCACTGCCTGTATTCAGAGCGTGAATTACCTACCCCGCTTTCGCTTCCAGGCAAAACCAAGTCATACCACGCGCCTCCTCGCCAAGCGGCTTGACCAGTACAGGCCGCATTTTGGCATCGTTTGGTATCTCTTGGAAGCGAGGGTGGTCAAAAGCGAGGTAGGTTTGTTTGCCCCCTATGTATCGCGGCCCCGACGGGGTGGAGACCAGGAGGAGGAGAAGGAGGAGGAGGACGACGACGACGACGAGAAAATTGACTTCAATGATCAAATTGAGCGCGAAGGCCTAGTCCTTTTTCCCAAAACGAGCCTTGTTGATGGCCCCGAATTGGGTGCCAGATGCCTATGGACCCTCTGATTGGCTATGATGGCGGCACTAAGCGACCGGCAGGGGACTGGGTCCCGTTCGCGGTCCATTAGGGGAGAGCATGCTACGCATGGACTGAAGTCAATGGAAATGAATTGCAGTGGATCCGTGAATGGATCAATCTAGATTGATGAGGTTATGATGCCTCTTTCGATTGTAAGCCGGCTATGATGCCCGCTCGTGCCCGCCCCATCCCGTCTTCAGAGACTTCGTTTCCCCCTATGATGGTAAGATGGGAAGACGGGCCGCCGCCCCTGGCACTGCGCGCGCGGTGCCAGGTTTGTGGGGATTTGGTTCGACCCCGCAATACCAATGATGGAAACTGCGAGGCGTGTGAGGCCTCATGGTGGTCCTCACTGGTAAGGCCTATGATGGTCCTCGCCGGGAAGCAGAGGGCAAGGGCGGACGTCCACCAACAACGTCCGCCGTGAAATGCACTGTGACCACATTCGTGAAACAGAAGACCGTGACATTCACGAGCACGACCCGACCTATGATTGCGGACTCCGTGAAACGCACCGTGGCCACGCTCATGACCACGAAAGCCGTGAAATTCACAAGCGCGACTCGACCTATGATTGCGGACTCCGTGACATGCACTGTGATCGCGCTCATGATCACCAACACCGTGAAACACACGAGCACGACCCGACCTATGATTGCGGACTCCGCGAAGTGCCCTGCGACCACACTCATGAACAATAAGACCGTGACATTCACGAGCACGACCCGACCTACGATTGCGGACTCCGTGAAACGCACCGTGCGCACACCCATGATCACAGAAACCGTGACATTCACGAGCACGACCCGATCGAGGCCGAGGTGCTGCCCGCACTGTTTGTATCGCGGCTCCGATGGGGTGGAGACCAGGAGGAGGAGAAGTAGGAGGAGGACGACGACGACGAAAAAATTGAATTCAATGAAGAAATTGAGCGCGAAGGCCCATGATGGTCCTTCTTCCCAAAACGAGCCTTGCTGATGGCCCCGAATTGGGTGCGAGGTGCCTATGATGGCCCGTCTGGTTGCCTATGATGGCAGCACTAAGCGACCGGCAGGGGACCGGGTCCCGTTCGCGGTCCATTGGGGGAGAGCATGCTACGCATGGAATGAAGTCAATGGAGATAAATTGCAGTGGATCCGTGAGTGGATCAATCTAGATTGATGAGTCATGATGCCTCTTTCGATTTTAAGCCGGCTATGATGCCCGCTCGTGCCCACCCCGTCCCGTCTTCAGAGACTTCACATCCCCCTATGATGGTGAGATGGGAAGACGGGCCGCCGCCCCTGGCACTGCACGTACGGTGCCAAGTTTGCGGGGATTTGGTTCGACCCCCGCAGTACCAATGATGGAAACTGCGGAGGGTGTGAGGCCTCATGGTGGTCCTCACTGGTAAGGCCTATGATGGTCCTCACCGGGGGGGGGAGAAAGCAAGGGCGGACGTCCACCAACAACATCCGTCGTGAAACGCACTGTGACCACACTCATGAAACAGAAGACCGTGACATGTGAGCATTTGTTTACTCTGGGTTCCGGCTTTAGGCGCATGGGGGGGGGGGGGTCCGGCTCTCGGCCCGTAGTCAATGCCTCCGATTGAATCATGTGGGGAATCCTGTGGGAGATGCCGATGAGGGAATCCTAGGGGAGACCCCCCATGGGGGAATCGCGCAGCGGCTGCGCGGGGCTGCGCCAAGGCTATGCGTGATTTGGCAAGCCTGTGCCAGACTTGCTAGGGATCACCTATTCATGATTCCACGAGGCCGTCGCTGGCATAACAGGGGAGGGCCCAGCCGGAGGCATGCTTTCTGGCGATCGGGTCTGGCGCCCCTGAGCCCTTTCGTTGTGGTTCCAGAAGAGTAGCACGATAAAATGCGCACAGTTGCACACATCAGCGATTCGAGTTTCTACCGGGGGAGGGGGGGGGGGGCGCCGGCCCCTGTAGTTCGTCCGATCGATTGAAGCAGGTGCCAAAATCAGCCCGGAACTTCTCTACGGGGGGGGGGGAGGGGGGGGGGAGGGGCGTTCCGCCGAAAGCAAAAACAAATAATAAAAGAATGCTCACCATTCACGAGCACGACACGACCTACGATTGCGGACTCCGTGAAACGCATCGTGACCACGCTCATGACCACGAACACCGTGAAATTGACAAGCACGACTCGACCTATGATTGCGGACTCCGTGACATGCACTGTGATCGCGCTCATGATCACCAAGACCTTGAAACACCCGAGATTCCTCTTCCCTCTTCAAAAAAAAAACGCTCTTCCCCTACGGGATGGGGTTTACCCCTCCCCTTCCCCCTCCCCTGGACTTTTTCGGGCCCCCCCGCGAGGCGTCAGAGCGTCCAAAACGGCCTCGGCGAGGAAGCCAAAATCATTAGTTGTACCCTGGTGTTGGCCCCACTTTGGCCTCTTCGGGGGGGGCTGAAAAATATCCCACCAGCCCGCTGGGCGCCCAAATCATGGGTTTTACTCAGGTTTTGGCCCCATGTTGGCCACTTTATAACATATCCTCCTTTGATCGATGGCCTTCAAGATTGCTCCAAGAGGCCTTCCAGGGCTCCCAAGAGGGCCCCAAGAGAGCCCCAAGAGGGCACCAAGACCTATAAAAGAGCCCCAAGAGAGCTCCATTACCTTCCCGAAGAGCCCCAGGAGAGCTCCAGGAGGCGATTTTGAGGGCTCCTGGGAGGGGGGTGAAATCGAGGACCCCCTATCTTTTGATCGATGCTCTCCTAGATGGTCCCAACAGGCCTTCCAGGGCACCAGCCGCCGCACCAGCAGAGGCAGCAACAACATCAGCACCACCACCAGCAGCAGCAGCACCATGGATCACACGCTTTGGATCCCTCCACCTCCTCCTCCTCTTCCTCCTCCTCCCCCATCGCCCCCACACGGCCCCCAGAGATGGCCCGAAGAGGCCTCCCAAGGCCACCCCCTTGTTCCCAGAGATCTCTCGGTTCATCCTGGTTGCGCGTTTCCCTAGATGTGTCCCTTCGTCCCTTATCCCGTCAGCTCTCGTGGGCAGGGCTTCTGAATGGGCTGGTGGGGATACGCGAAGCGTGAAGACTTTCGATTCGTGGCGATGCCTCAACCAATGGTGGCCCGAAAGGGAACGACCGCTGGCCCTAACCAGCCTCGAACTTATCCCTATCCCTAAGATGGGCGAGCAAAAAGCGAGGACAGTGTTGGGGATATGCCTTCAGAAACTAAAGGAATCCTTAAGATCGTCATCGAGGTGAGGATGCCAAGCACAGGGATAGGGGTATGTTTCAAACTGGTAAGAGCCACAGCGGGACCCTGATAAGCAGGCGGCGCAGTCACCCTCAACGGAGGTGCCCTCGCGCCGAAGCAACAAAGAGTTGGACGAGAAGGGGAGGGGGCCCCTCCTCCTCCTCCTCCTCCTCCTCCTCCTCCTCGTCCTCCTCCTCCTCCTCCCTCCCCCCACCCTCCTCCTCCTCCTTCTCCTCCTCCTCCTCCTCCTCCTCCTTCTCCTCCTTCTCCTCCTCCTCATCCCCCTCGTCGTCCTCCTCCTCGTCGTCCTCCTCCTCCTCCTCCTCGGCGGGAAGCGAGGGGCAGTGAGGAGAAGCAGGCCTTCTCAGAAGGCGTGGAGATGGGGAATGAGAGGATGGCGAGGCGACGGGGTCGGCAGGGGGGCGAGCTCGAAGCGTCGCTGCCCCGTTGCGGGCACGAGAGGCGCCACGACCGCGCAGTCTTCGACGCCTGGCCCCACGGAGCCTGCATCCCTTGCCCGGAGCATGGTCTTCACCATGGGATCGGTCAGGCTTCGACGCCTGGCCCCACAAAGCCTGGGTCCCTTCTCTGGAGCATGCTTCTTTCGCCATGGGCCGTTTTCGGCGTGAAGCAAACGGGTCCCGAGTGAAGCGGGGCATGGACCCTAGGGCCTTCCCTGGATCGTGGATTGCTTTTCTCTCTCTCCTGAGTTCTATATAACTCCACTCTGACCTCCATTGCTCATTGGCTGGAAGTGCCTGTAAGGAAGCGGAGATGGTCCATAAGAACGAACACCCTGATCGCCCGGGCCCGACTCTGTGGCGGGGCCTCAGGTCGATGGTTCAACTACTTACCAAGATGTCTAACGACCGCCAAACACAGTCAACATGCTGATGAACCCCATCTGCTCACGAGGAATCCCACTCTTCTGTGGTTTACCTAGCAATGCTGTAGATGGGGTCGATGCTATGTCTGAGTGGGGAAGGCATGGCGAGTCATGCGACTCAGAAATGCTATGTCTGAGTGTCTGTAAAGAGGCAGCCTCAGACATGCGTGTCATCCACCGACCCTCCGCACTCTTCCCCATCGAGGCTCGCCTCTGGCGCGCTCAGGCCCTTCATGCCACCGAGGGCTTGCCGCAGGGCCTCCTTGTCCAGCTCCCCCTCCCAACGGCTCATGACCACCGTGCCCACGCCGTTGCCGCAGAAGTTCGTCAGCGCCCGGCACTCCGACATGAACTTGTCGATGCCGAGGAGCATGGCCATGCCCGGCGCGAGCTCAGGCCGGACCGCGACCAGCGTGGAGGCCAGGCAGATGAAGCCCGCGCCCGCGACGCCAGAGGCGCCCTTGGAGGTCAGCATGGCCACCAGCAGAAGCTCCAGCTGCTCTGCCAGGGACAGGCTCACGCCCATGGCCTGGGCGATGAACAGGGTGGCGAGGGTCATGTAGACGTTCGTGCCGTCGAGGTTGAAGGAGTACCCCAGCGGAACCACGAGGCCGACCACGGACTCCGAGCAGCCCATGCACCTCAGCTTGGCCATCAGGTTCGGCAGCGCGCTCTCCGATGAGGAGGTGGCAGCCACGAGCACCAGCTCGTCCTTGATGTACCAGAGGAACTTCAAGATGTTGAAGCCCGAAGCGGCCGCGATAGCGCCGAGCACGATGAGGACGAAACTGATCGACGTCAGGTAGAACGTCAAAATGAGCTCGAACAAACTTCCCAACTCGTGCAAACCGTACGTGCCCACCGTGGTCGCCATGGCCCCAAACGCGCCCACAGGCGCCACTTTCATGACGATGGCAACGACGCTCGACATGATGTGACCCATTGCGTCAACCAACTCAACGACCCGGGTCGCGCGCTCTCCCGTGATCATCGCAGCCATGCCGACGAGAATGGCGACGAAGAGTACCTGCAAAATCTCGCCCTCGGTCAGTGCGCTAACAAGAGTCGTCGGGATGATATCGAGTACTAGGCCCACCTCTGTGCGGTTCTGAGCTTGTTCCTGATACTTCTCCACGTCCCTGCCGTCGTACTGCATGTGGGCACCCTGGCCTGGCTTCACGACATTGCCCACGAGGAGTCCCAGGATCAATGCAAAGGTGGAGACCACTTCGAAGTACACGAGGGCCTTCAGCGCCACGCGCCCCACTTTGGCGGTGCTCTGCACATGCAAGATGCCCGAGAACACAGTGCAGAAGATCAGCGGCGCGACTATGGACTTGACCAGCTTTACGAAGCCAATCCCCATGGCCCCTATCCACTCGCTCTTCGCAACATCCGGCAGCAGCCAGCCGACGAGCACACCGAGCACCACTGCGACAAGCACCTGCACATACAGCGGGACGGAACACTGCCGTCCCCGTGCGGAGGCACCCTCCGCCGTACTGCACGGTGCTCCTGCCATGGCCCGGCGACGGGAAGCTGGCCGCACTTTTGGCCTCCCGGGCCTGCCGCTGCTCCTGGCTGCCTCGAGCCCGCGACGCTCGAACTGAAATGGCTTCCGTGGGTCGTGGATGATCGATACGTAAAGGACCCCTAACCCTTCGGGAGGGGACCGAAGTTAGGAGGCCCACAGACATCAGGGTTAGGGGGGTCTTTTCTGCAGATGTATCAGACCAAACCACCCAGTCTTATCATCACGAATGCCTAATGCGAAGACTGGGACCTAAGTGAGGCCACGTCTTCATCGTGTCAGTGAGCGTTTTGTGTCTTCGGCGTTTCGACATTGGGCGGAAGAGGGGGGGAGGGGGGGAAGGGGGGGGGTCTGGCTCCAGACCTCTGCTTGGTGCAGCTGTTTGCAAGAGTGCTGCCTCTGGGGGAGGAGACTCCACCCGCTCGAGACAGGCACCAAAAAACAGCCAAGATCTACTCCATAGGGGGGGGGGGGGGGGGGAGCGAGGGACCGCGCCGATCGGCAGAACAATCAATAAAAAACAATCACTTATTATTAGGGTTAGGGATCGTTTTGTCCTCGATGAAATGGATGGATGTTCCGTCCTGGATCGCTCTCGTCCTGTATCGTTCTCTGACAGCCCTGGACGTTTCGTCCCTGGATCGTGGGGCCTTCCCTAGGGCCGTCCAAGGGCATGGACACATGTTTCGTAACAGCCCTGGGCCCGTTGAAGGGCCCCAGGAAACCTCAAAAGGGTAAGGCCACCAAAAACTCGGGGCCCGCTTCCCGCAGGGCCTGTCCTTTTCATGGCAGCATTTGTTGATGATCCCCGCGGTGGGGGCCGAAACAGCCTGCCGCCACATTCGTCTCGGGCCGCCAGATTTGGGGAGAGGGCGAGGCCGAACCTCACCTGTCGCTGCGATTCTCGCCACCGCCGTCGCCGTCGTTGCCGCCGCCACCGTCCTTGTCATCGTCCTCGCCGTCGTTGTCACCGATCCCGTCGTCGTCGTCGTCGTCGTCGTCGTAGCCAGCGTTTGAGGAACAAGCAGCTGCATCAACATGCACATAAACTGCCTAAACACAAATCTGCTCCTTGCTGGCCCCTGGCTCGCGGAGCGCTGGGGCGGCCCAGCGCGGATCCAAGCAAAATCCGCACGGGGCTTCCTCTCCGAGTTCCGCGCGGAGCCGCTGGCAGAAAGAGGATGCGGTCGGCGAGGAAGCGTCGAGGCGCCTCCTGGTTGCCGAACTGCTTCCAGGTCGAGCTCACCAGGCGCGTCACTCCAGTGCCCTGCCCCTCTCCAGCTGCCGCGGGCAGGGTGCGCCCTCCTTCCTCTACTTACTTGTCCTTTTCCTCTCTCATCCCTCCTGCTCCCTTGTCCTCCTCGTCGTTCTCCTCCTTCCCCCGCCCCCTCGATTGAGTGGGCCCCCAAGAACACTCCAGAGCCTTCCAAACGGTCCCCTACGCCCGAAACCCTCTTCGAACTTCGATCCTACTTTGACTCCCAGGAGCCGCCGACCCCCAGGGCACTGCCCGGCGGAAGGGGAGAAGGGGGAGGATACAGACAGAGGTGTTTGGTCGCGGTTCGAGCACCCGCAAGATGAGCAGACCTACAGACAGGCGCCTCTGTCAAGCGCGCCTACGGTCGGACCTAGGACAGACTAAGATCCTTCAAGAACATGAAGCCATCTGCCGGCCACAACACCCCAAACCATAAAATCACGGAGAATACCCTCTCCCAGGATGCACAAGAACATCCCCGAGCCGACCTGGATCCTATGCCTCGGGCCAGCTATAAGCGCACAGGGAAGCGTCAAATTTGGGAGTAGAATGGGCCTGTCCGCCCTCCAAAGTGGTGCCTGGGCGTGGCGCACAATCTGAGGTGCCCGTTCGCATTTCCCGCTCGTTGTGCCAGAGTCGCGGCGTCGAATTGCAGTGGTCACTCGCAGTGCCCCTTCCCATTGCAAGGCTCGACCTAAGCACTGTGTTCCGTTTCAGTCTTGTTTTCGTTTTCCCTCGCTGTCTTCGTTCCACTTCTGCTGCAAAACGAGGGTCAAAACGAAAACGGTTCACGGAATCGCCAAAACACCGTTTAGGTCGAGCCCTGTCCCGGTGTCAGTTGGCGACAGCACACCGTGGTGCCATGTGTGGCGTCCCGATCGTGGCGGCCCAGCGAAAAAGTCCAAGCCGATCGTGGCGTCCAAACGTACTGTCCACTCACTCACGCCCCTCCACGTCAACAACCTCCCTTGAAATCCGATATCGTGACGACATCGTGAAGAATCACGGTAGAAGCTCCTGGCCTCATCCTTGTTGCGCCCAAAACGACGCAATCCAGTCCGATGCATTGTTTTTTTGTTTGCTCAACACGGGGTCTCCAGAAATGCCAACCCTTTTCTAAAAACGGCTTGCGCATCTCGAACAGTTTGTTGCCGTTCCCGGAGGACCTGGCGAGGACTCCCAATGGAGACCGAAACAGCAAACACCACCACACTTCATGGAGGTGCTTGCCGTTCAAAAATGTGGAGGTCTGGGATGAAGGTTGGAGGCCTGGGAAGAACGCCCGTCGTCATTTTGCTCAGGGGCGACGCCAAGATGTCCAGCGTCAGATCACTTCGCCTCCTCAAGCCGCCATGGCTCCGCCAAGAGGCCTCGCCGCAAACGGCCAGGCCGGGCTCCCGCCAGCACTCTCTGACCAAGGGCACGGGATCTTTCCCCGCAGCTCGAGAGGAAGACCGAGCTCCTAGTGTGTGCGCGCTGCGAAGCCGTGCTGCCCCTGCCCTCCAGGAGAAAGGGGGACATACAAAAAGACTGCCGCGACATGGTGCCGTGACGCAACAACCACATATGCGCCAGGCGCTTGCTGGCGCACTCAAGACATAAGAACGGTGATAGGGCAACGCTAGTGGGCCGAGGGGGGGAGGGCATGGGGAGAGTGAGCCCCGTTCTGTTGGCGCCCTCCTTCGAGGGCGCTCACGGCATGGCTGTGCTGCTGCAAGCGGCCCCTAACCCGCCGCCCTGGCTCCGCCAAGAGGCCTCGCCGCAAACGGCCAGGCCGGGGCCTCGCGGTCTCCCGCCGGCACTCTCTGCCCAAGGGCACGGGGACTTTCCCCGCAGCTTGAGAGGAGGAGCGAGCTCCTCGTGCGTGCGCTGCGAAACCGTGCTTCCCCTGCCCTCCAGGAGAGGGGGACATACAAGAAGACTACCGCGCCACGGTGCCGTGACGCCAAAATTACATATGCGCTGGGCACTTGCTGGCGCACTTAACAAATCCGCCGATGCAGTGTGTCATTTTCAGAGAGCCTGAGCTACAGCCTACAGCCTGAGCTTCAGCTCTGCTGGGGGGTGGGCCGGGGTGGCTCTGCCGGGGAAGGACGGGAGGGTGCGCCTGTGATCCGTTTTCTAGGCGGGGCTGGGACACGTAAAAATCAGCCAAATTCCCACCCAGGGGCCAGAGTCGTCGATGGCCGCGAGACATTTCCTAGACGGCTCAAGATACACTCAAGATGGCCCAGGATGCCATCCCAAAAAATTCCGAAGAGGCCCAAATCATTGATTGTCTACTGGCTTTTGAAGGGTTTGTGCGCTTCATTCTTTTGGCCTTCCAAAGGCCCCAGAGGCCCCCAAGATCGCCTCAGAGGCCTCCAAGATGGCCCTATGACGGCCCAAGAGGCTCCGAAGACGGCCACAAGAGGGTCCCAAGATGGCCCCGTTGGCCCCCAAGACGACCAAGATGACCTCCAAGACGGCCCTGAAGCGGCCCCAGAGTGCTCCCAGACGGCACAGCGAGGCGCCCAAGACAGTGTCCGACGAGCCAGGAACACCCTCAGACAGCCAAAAAGGTTTCCAAGAAGCCCCCAAGAGGCCCAGAGACCCCCTCAAGAGGCCTCCTCCTACGACGGCCCCAGGAGGGCCCCAAGACGGCCCCATAGGCCTCCAAGCGAACCCGAGCACCATCGGGAACGCCCTGGATCGGCGGCACTGGCCGAAGGCTCAAGACATAAGAACGGTGATAGGGCAACGCTAGTAGGCCGAGGGGGGAGGGCATAGGGGAGAGTGAGCCCCGTTCTGTTGGCGCCCTCCTTTGAGGGCGCTCACGGCATGGCTGTGCTGCTGCAAGCGGCCCCAGCCCGCCGCCATGGCTCCGCCAAGAGGCCTCGCCGCAAACGGCCAGGCCGGGGCCTCGCGGTCTCCCGCCGGCACTCTCTGCCCAAGGGCACGGGGACTTTCCCCGCAGCTTGAGAGGAGGAGCGAGCTCCTCGTGCGTGCGCTGCGAAGCCGTGCTTCCCCTGCCCTCCAGGAGAGGGGGACATACAAGAAGACTGCCGCGCCACGGTGCCGTGACGCCAAAACAACCTATGCGCGGGGCACTTGCTGGCGCACTCAACAAATCCGCCGATGCAGTGTGTCAGTTTCAGAGAGCCTGAGCTACAGCCTACAGCCTGAGCTTCAGCTCTGCTGGGGGGTGGGCCGGGGTGGCTCTGCCGGGGAAGGGCGGGGGGGTGCGCCTGTGATCCGTTTTCTAGGCGGGGCTGGGACACGTAAAAATCAGCCAAATTCCCACCTGGGGGCCAGAGAGTCGTCGATGGCCGCGAGACATTTCCTAGACGGCTCAAGATACACTCAAGATGGCCCAGGATGCCGTCCAACAAAAATTCCGAAGAGGCCCAAATCATTGATTTCCTACTGGCTTTTGAAGGGTTTGGGCGCTTCATTCTTTTGGCCTTCCAACGGCCCCAGAGGCCCCCAAGATCGCCTCAGAGGCCTCCAAGATGGCCCTATGACGGCCCAAGAGGCTCCGAAGACGGCCACAAGAGGGTCCCAAGATGGCCCCGTTGGCCCCCAAGACGATCAAGATGACCTCCAAGACGGCCCTGAAGCGGCCTCAGAGTGCTCCCAGACGGCACAGCGAGGCGCCTAAGACGGCGTCCGACGGGCCAGCAACGCCCTCAGACAGCCAAAAAGGCTTCCAAGAAGCCCCCAAGAGGCCCAGAGACCCCCTCAAGAGGCCTCCCCCTACGACGGCCCCAGGAGGGCCCCAGACGGCCCCATAGGCCTCCAAGCGAACCCGAGCACCATCGGGAACGCCCTGGATCGGCGGCACTGGCCG